ACGCAGCCGCGGCAAGGCTCATCGCGCCGACGAAACGTTCGCGATGAAAGCTTTTCAGGGGCTTCCTGCTAAGCAGCTGACGCGTTACAAGGTTGCGTGATCTTTTTCAGCATTAATTTTCTTGTTCCCCACGAGCCAAATATGGCTCTGGGGGGAAGGAGAGCGGCTGTCAGGCGCTTTTCCTGGGTAGGGCAGGGACGGGTTTACGAGCCAAATATGGCTCTGGGGGGAAGGAGAGCGGCTGTCAGTCGCTTCTCCTGGTTAGGCCAGGACTGGATCTGTTCCCAGAGGCATTGCTCCAGCCTGATGACATGCAGCTGGTATCGCGTGACGAAGGTGGCTTTAAGACTTTGATCTCTTCTTCTGCCTGAAGCCTTTTGCATGCAGCAAGCCCCATCCTGCAAGGCGCTGAGTGATTCGTGCTAAGAATTGCTGAGCATCTTTAGTTTCCAGCTACTTCTAAGATCCTGGGAGACCTGCAGGAGTCAGTTCAAACGCGCTTTGCCCTGTGCAGGGGTAAAGTAACGCAGCAGGAAAGCCAGGAGCCAGCTCAGCGCTCGCGGTCCTCTGTGCCCTGCAGCCAGAGGCACAGGCTCCATCAGGGTCTCCATCACGGCCTCCGTCACGGGCTCCCCGGCTGCGCTTTGCTCTTTTAAGAGAGAGCTTACTCGTTCTTCCAGGACAAGGCTGGGCTGGGAAGTCCCCGATGCAAATCCGTGTGGGCCTCAGGTGGTCACAAATGGAATTTATGATTAAGACTGGTGCTTGGAGATCCACAGTTGACAGCAGACTTCACTGCATGGCTCTAAGGATGCGGTGCCGTGGGCTGCAGCTACCGTGTCCTTGAGCCTCTCCCAAGCCTGGGGGAGGACATGTCCCCTTGCGCCTGCGCTGTCCCTGCAGCCTGGCTGGGTGTCTGTTGGTCACAGTGTCCCTGCAGCGATGGATGGTGAGGATGGAGGCCGCCAGGCCAGGAGCAGCCAGGCACGTGCAGGCGGGGTAGATGTGTCTGCCCGTTCCTGGCCCCGTGTGGCACCAGGGCCAGCCTGGGGACACGGGATGTCCGGCCAGGCAAGCGCACGGCCATGAACACGCTGTCGATGCCAACGCTGCTTCCCTTGGCCTGGTCTGGTGACACCGATGCCTGTGACCTGCCCACAACCCGCACGGAGCTTTTAGCGTTTCAGCGTAACATCCGGCAGCGGGAATCGCCAACAAGGCGAAAATTCTGCGCGAGGACTCGGCGGGAGACGCAGGGGGTCTTTTAGCGTTGCAGCGTGACATCCGGCAGCGGGAATTGCCAACAAGGCGAAAATTCTGCGCGAGGACTCGGCGGGAGACGCAGGGGGATGCAGGGGACGCGGGGGACATCCAGGCGCAGTGAGGCCGGGGTGGCCACTGAAGGGACCCATATCAACGAGCGCGCACAGCGATGACCAAGCGCGTGACGGAAACCCAGGTCCGAGAGACCTTGGGGACTCGCCGCACCTCCCGCCCAGCTCTACCACCCCCAGCAGGAAAGAGCAGCTGGGCCGCTGAGCCCGCTGCCGCCCCTGGACAGCGCCAGAGCCGAGGCACCAGCGCTCCCCAGTCTATCCCCGCCTCTGCTGTTAACATGCAAGGTGGTGCTGGGCACAGCATAACATTATTTCCAGTTTTACCAACTTGTAGAATAAGGAAGATACTAACCTGCTCCCCGAGACGATTGCTCGAGCGTTAACTGCTGCCTCTTCAAAGTGGGGACCTCTGTGCTGTAAGTCTGAGGGGCTGCCGTTTCCCTGAGGTCCGAGGAGCTTTGTTTTCACTCCGTGACAAAAAAACAACCAAAATCCCAGACTTGAGCTCCCCAGAATTTACAAAAACTCGCAACCCTGCTGGGGTCCCGGACCCCACCGTGGTCCCAGTCCAGCTCGGGAGCTAGTGGCTCAGCTCCGCGTTAAAACGTGCCCTTTGCTTTCGCTAGAGTAAAGTCATTTTCTGGTATAACTGAAACCAGCTCTGAAAACGTGCATAAGGCAAGAGCATTAAGCAAGAACAAACCCCAATAGTATCAACCAAAAGAGATTTTTATCCTGCTAGGCTAGACGAGCAATCTTCAATATTAGCCTCACTTTGCACTTAGCTGTATTCAGTTAAAGTTAAGGAACAGCATTAGATTAAATGGACATGTTGCTTTATAAAAGGCTCAGAACATGTTTACAAACAGCTTTGCATAAAGCCAGGCCATCAGCAAAGATCCAACAACGCGCGCACGTACGCACACGTACGCCCGCGCTGGCTACTTGTGGCCCCCCTTCAGCAGCGAGGCCCTGCGGGGACTTTGCAGACCATCGCCTGATCTACAGCAGCTCTGCCAGATCCTGGCTCGGCCTGCACGGTGGGAGGATTATTCGGTGGGATGCTGTACGCGGCCCAGACGAGCTCTCCTGTCTCCAGAGGTGTCAAACCAACCTTGATCTTTAGCTGTCTCATTTGCCCCAGCCGTCAAATGCGCTAGACATGTGCCATTTTGCGCAGTTAATAGCTTTCTCTGGCAAAGCGATGCAGACATCCCCTCCTCCCCGGTCCTGGCAACGGCGCTGGAATGCAACACCTTGATTTCCTAATTCCTTACCGTTATGGACGGCGCTTAAGGCATTTCTGCCAGCTGAGGAAGGTTAAAAGCCAGGCTAATGCTGGGCCAGCCAAATGGTTGTACCAGACCAAAATCGGTGCAACAGTGGCAGGAAAACCCCAGCCTGTTTGCACCACAGCTTCCTGGCAGAGCGACGGGTGACAAACGCAGCTGAAGCCTCTTGTCTCCTGCTAGTTTTGTTCTCATCAGCTACAGCCGTATAAATTAAGAGCAGCAATACTGGAGGGGGTTTCGTGCAGTTAACGGGACAGAGGCTCAGCTGCTGCAGACACATGCTTGTCCTGGTGCCTTTTTCATCTGTGAAACAGGCCAAGCAGTGGATTTAATTATTTTTTTCCTAGCACATAAACCACTAATCATTTATTACATTTAAAAAAACCCCTCATCTCCATAACTTTCATTCCTATTTTATCCAAGTTAAACTTGAAAAAAAAAGGTTCATTTTCTTTTTTTGCAATCACAAAGACACGATCTTAGCCCCATTGACTCGCTAATTGTAAGCATTCAAATGGTTAGGTTTAAAGTTACACTTAGCAGCTGTGAAACATTAGGGTGAAGTGATTACAACCTACTGGAGGATACCGAACATTTTTACAATATCTCAGGAGCATAAGGGAAAGACAACAGGAAATGGCGCAAACTTTCCTACCCTGCACGGTAACAAGCCAAAGCAAAGGAGCTAGAAAAGAAATCTAGAGAAGTAGCGCTTACGCAGCTGGGAGCCTCAAAAAGTTCCAGTCAAACCCCAAAGCAAGCAGCGCGCAGTTGTGATGCCCTCTGCATTTGGGGAGGGCAGAAAGGAGGGGCAGTGGCACACAGCGATTTCACAGCTGCGCTTAGCAGTAAATCCTGCTCCAGCCTTTTTGAGAGGCAGTGGAGGAACGAGGACAGAGACCTGGGCGATAGTTTTGCACTTGGTCGGTTCCTCTCGTTGCCCTGCCTTCTTGCAGCCTCATTACCAACCAACTTTGAATTTGGTTCGGCTAGCTTTGCCTGGGGCGAGATAACCAGAAATTGCTATTTCATAGAGCGGGATGGAAGGCGGCGATTTATGGGTTTTGCTTTGGTAGAGCAACGTGCTCTATCAGCAGCTCATCAGCGTTTTGCTTTGCTCCAGCTGTGCGCTGCTCCAGCTGTGCAAACCGGCTGTGAAAAGGCTCACCACCAGCCCGAAATGGGGCTGCAGCCGTCGGTAGCCACAGGGTAACAAAGCCAAAGTGCTCGAGTGGGCGAAGCCCAAAGTATTTCGCATTCAGCAGCCTGCGGGCTCTGCAAAGGACTTGGGAACGCCAGATCTGCTGGTTGCGGCCAGGCTCTAGATTCACTGTGAGATTTGATTTCATTTGAACTTCAAACTGTCACATTTGGAGAACCTTTGACTTTCCACTGCTTTTCAAACAGCAAAACATTCCCCCTCCTATGATTTAAGCACGCTACATGCGTGTGTTTATTACAGAAACCAGGGTAGAATAAGAAAGCAATATTTCATGTTAATTCATGAAATCTGAACTCAGCTTTTAATAGAAGAGCTCCACTTTATACACAGAGTGATATACAGTCCGCCCGGCTTTAAATGAGACATTTTGCCTTTTGAACTCAGCAGGAGGCCACTGCTTACTACTACTGGAAACAGTTTAAAAACTTGCAAGTCCAGCATGTCTTTTGGGCTCTTTTCGAGACAGTGTTTTATGTCATGGCACAACATTCTCGCTGCGCTGCCTGTGACCGTCTGCCAACCGCGCTGCTTGGGAGTTCGGCATTTCAGAAACTCACCTGCACTATTTCCACCACAATGTGAGACAGTCATCCAAAATCAGGGAAGACATTAAGACTCTCCCTGATTTTGCTTGAAGTTGGGTTTGGATCAGGACCAAAGATTGAAATCCTGCTTCCATTAAATTCAGGGGCAAAACGGCCTTAGACCACAGTTTTACTGCAAAAGCACATGGCAGAGCTTGTTGCTGCTGGGTGCTGGAAAGGAGGAGCACAGGCAGATCTTAGGGACCAGTGAGGGCCCCAGTCCTGCACACACGTATGGCCATGGTAGGTCTGCTCAGGGCAGTAAAGACCCTAACGGCACCGAGAGCTGGGTGCTGGTGGCTCAGAGCGAGGCGGGTGGCTCTCTCCCCAGGTCAGTACAACACCTGAAGATCCAAGTGGATAAGCTGCAAGGAGGCCTCTAGCAATTGTCAATGAGCAGTAATCTTCTTTCTTGGTGCCCCAAAAGAATATCGCTGCTGGGGGTGAAGCAGAGGAAAGGTGTTGTTCCATGAAAGCACTTGGCTTCCTGTTCAGAGGGAACTTTCTAGGGCCTGCCTTTAGCAAGGTACGCAAGCATGGGGCATCAGTGGGACCACGCGTGCCCTTAGAGCAAGACATACTCTTCGGAAACTCATTGAATCGGAGCCTACAGTGTTATTGCTGCAACATACTCAGCTCTCCCTGGCTCACTGAAGAGCTGGAACTTGGTCGTTATTCTGCTGGGTCATCTATGAAAGTATCAAATTAAAGCTAAATTAGCCACCTCACTGCAGTGCACTTTTCTTTTTTTTTTTCTTTTTTTTTTTTTTTTAAGTTCAGGGCTTTCTTAACAGCTTGGCTACGGGGCTATCAACAGCAGGGAATTTAGGACATTCTTTTCAATGAACCAGACAGAAAATATTTTGGTACAGCCCCAGTTTGTAGGGTTTTTTCCCCCCCCTTTAAACAAAACATCCTGATTCAAAGAAGCTTCTGCAGACTGGGAATTTCCACATGGCCGTATTGCAGCACTTATAAAAAGTGATTTAATGCCTGCCAACAACAAATACATTTCCAATGACACCACTCTGCATTATGCACTATCCTACTTTGTGTGTTCATAAAGAACCAGCAACTGAGCTGTTTGAGGCTACAGTAATATGAAGAACAGCAGTCGCTTTCCTTTAAAAGAACTCTGTCCCTTATGGCTGCTCTTTGGAAAGACTGAAAGGAAACAAGAATCACGGTGACAACAGAATCCCTTCTGTATGTGTTAATCTGGATTTTGTTTGAACTTTTGGAGCTGACCTTGGCTTGAACTGTGCTAAAAATCCTAACTGGTGTGGACTGACTTGACCCGGTGGTTCCATTTGTTCCCAGCGCCAGCCCTACCCTAACTCGCTTAGCTCAACCCATTATTTTGCAGACATAAAAGAAAAGTAGCATTACAGCGGAGCCTGTTAGCACAGATATAGCCAGTGGGCCAGAGCTACAAGTACTTACTTACGGGCAAACTCTCCTCTGATTTCATCCCAAGGAGGTTTTTTGCTTGAGAAAGGACTGACTGAAAATCAAGCAAGAAACTGAAATTATTGCTGCAGACTCTCAGGTTTTATTAGTGGTTTCCAACCCTGAAGAGAGAGAGAAAAAAAAGCTTCTGCAATCTGAGCAATAGCATTACAGTTAAAGAAAATCAAGCCTGAGACTGAATTTGATATTTGGTGTTTGGGGATGGAGTAGGAAGAGGGTGGTCAATTTTGCATCAGTCAGTGTGGCTGGTTTTAAGCTATAGGAGTGCAAAAAGATTTGTGGGTTTAGATAGTTTCCTCTCATTTCCATGACTCAAACAGCTTCTATTAAACAGAAGTAGTGGGAAGGAAATGTCATAAGCTGATAGTCCCATCTCAGTTTCTGCTTCGCAACATAAGTTGGCTGAGATAGAGAATTTTATGTGGCTGCTATGTGTGAGCCCATCAGTATTTATCAACTGAATTGCGCAGCACACGGTTTTACTGTGCACAGTCAGTACATTTCGTGGCTTCAGTATGTTGTGTGGGTCCTCAAGGCTCCTTTATGTGACCCTGTAATACAACAGATGTAGGTGGGCACTGCTGCTGTGAGAGGGTGTGTGGACCTCTGCTCATGTAAATCAGTTAAGCTCAGTGGGACGAGCAACCAGAGTCTCAACCAATATAAGCAGCGCATGTCCCGCTGGCTGTGCCAGCTCGTGGCAGGTAAAAATCTGACCCACTGTTTCACAAGGAGCCACCAGCATATAAAACGGAAGTGATTCAAAGGAGCCATCAGGATCCCTTCTGTCCATGTTCCATGTTTTCCGGATACCGTGTCTTGGGAACGCTGATGTTACAATTTCATATATACATATACCTACATATATTACTATAGTCATGATCCTCTTCACACTGCTAGGCTTAAAGAGACAAACGGAAGACCGAAGCCTGGCTCGTTCTCTCCCTGGGTCTAGCAGATAAGCTCACTCCACCAATGAGTGTTACATTCTAAGCAATTACTTTAAAGAAAAAAAAATTAACCTGCAAAAGACTCTGGCTATAATTGTCACACAAGGACCTGAAGTAAGACACCAAAACACAGATATAGATGCTGATTTTCAGAGGTGCCAGGTTGGTGCAAGGAACCTCATTTAAGTCTTTTATATAAAAAATTCTGTCCTTGCACAAGGGTATGAGAAAACAAGGATGCAAAAACAAGCTAGACTGGCTGAATAACATCCACTGATGGCTTTAATTAAAGCCCTCAAGTTAGTATATATGCACATAGTCTTTGGTACAGGAAGATATATGAAGCACACATCAAGCCTAGTAACTCTCCACGAACATTGACATTTAAGCAGTTTCTTGTTTAACTTAGATTTATTCAATGACACATGCATTTCTGGACAGATATCAGCGTTTCAGTGAACAACTTTTATAACCAAATATGAGAAACTGGTGACTGCAGTTAGTCAATTAAGTTATATTTCTAAAATACATGACTAGAATAAAACTGGAGCAATAGAGATAATTCTTCTGAAGAACAAAAAGAAACATTTCCATTTGTAATACTCCTGGCATTGATGAATATCAGCGGGGAAGGAGGGCAGCAAGGAGATGCAACCATGAAGGAGTAACTTTATCAACCCTGTCCACAGAAAGTCCTTGAGTTTCCACTCTCTCCAGTTCATTCTTTAATGCTCGGCACTTTTGCAAACGGCTAGAGTTCCTGGCTGGCGCTCGCACCACTAGGTTACAGAGATTCCCTTTATCTTTTAACACGAAAAGCAGATAGTGGTTGTGAAACCATGTGCTTAACCAAAAATGGCTTAGAAATATTTCTCCTCTAACATCTCTTCCTGAATACAGCAAAAAAAGAAGCCACAGAGCTATCAAGATTGAAGACAGAGTCTCTTCATATTGCACAGGAAAATAAAGTCAAGATTTTGTGAATATGTTTCAGGAAGGTTTACGTGGAAGAGTCGTCAATATTTATCGGGGTAACAAGAACCATCCAGCACGGCAGCTAACTGGTGGGTGAAACACATATCGAGATTGTTTAGGTGGAGAGACAGTTTGTTACCCTGTCTTGATCTCTCCTTGTATGTCTGACTAATTTAAGGGAATCCTGTGGGGAAAAGACTGAGCGGCTGGTTTTCGTTAGTCGGGAGGGGTGATCTGTAACCATCAAAATTGCGTGGAATACTTCCGCTGGTGGAACCCGAGCTGTTACTTAGCGTCTCTATGCTTCCCTCTCGCTGAAGCTCTGAAATGAAAGAGAAAACAGGTCCTGGTTAGTGTTTCAGATAAAAGAACCAAGAGTGCCATTAGAAAGCCACTTTATTGACAAATCTGCTTATTGTATCGTTGCGCTAACATTACGTTTGCTTGTCATCTGTCTTTTCCTGGGTGATTTGACGAATCGCTCCAGAGGCATCCCGACTCCTGTTTCTACTTCTTTGCTGGCCTTGTATTTCAGTCTGAATAGAAACAGGGCTGTATGAAGACATTGAGCACTGCCTGGCGGAGCAAATCCCTTTCCTGGGGGCGAGTCCATTGATCTGTGACATGTCAGGACTCAATAGTTGGGATGCTCATGGCTGAACTGAGCAGGGTGCAACAAGTACAGTGAGAAACATGGAAACACCTTTCCCCAACAGCACCGCGGCTGAGGTGGGCAAGCTGGGAAAGGAAAGCGGTAGCAACACCCGTTACCAGTGAAGTGCAGCAACAGTGCCTAAGCAGCGCAATTCAACATCTTGTGAAAACCAGGGACTTTCCATAGCCCTCCGTGGTGCATAAATGGGCAAATATAGCTCTGCTTTTTTTGAGGCAAAGAGAAAAAGATCACCTTTCCTATATGCCAGGCAGCTGTGCCTCAAAGCAAAAGAGAAAGCAGACCTAATTGTGGCTTTGCCTCTCGCAGTCACACACAAGGAGCCATCACATCATTCCTCCCCTTGCTGACCTCCCAAAGCCTTTGCTGCCTCCTAATCTCGAAACACTAGAATTTGTGTGTGCGCCGAATATCCTTGCTAGCTGTGGCCTCTCTGTGAGCCACTTGAACCCGGCAGTTGACTCAGTGGCAGCGTGCAGGCAGCGCTGCTGGGCAGCATCACCCTGCCCGGCACTCAGCGGCGGCATGCAGCGGCCAGATTAGGCAGAGCCACGCGGACGCGACCCCGCTCCTCTCCCAGACACTCGCTGACAGGCTACGAGAAACGTCCCGGCGAGTTGCAGCGTGCAGCCGTAAGTGCAACTTCCTCGCTCTGTCTGCGCGCAGGCCGTAGTCGGGGAAGGGGAACAAGCCGGGTTTGCCGGGGCGCCACGGCGGGGGTGTCACGCCTGCCCGGCACGGAGCAAACGCTGCGAGCGCCTAGGCGGTTCTTCCTGCTGCCTTTCACCTGGAACGAGGGCTGCTGAGGAAGTGAGCGATACACTTCAGGAGCTGGGTCACTGCTAAACACCGCTGTGTGGCTGCCGTCTGCAGGCCTCCGGCCGGCACTGGGCTCTTCGCTCCGTATAAACGTCGCGACAGCCCCTTTGCTGCAGCGGGACTCCAAGACAAGGCCAAAACTATGCAGAAAGCACAGGGCAAAAGCTCCAAGTCAATTTGTCACTAAAACAGAAAGCATCCCATGCAGGTATCCTTGGAAAACTGCCCAATTCGTACCAGCTAGCCGGGCACGGAAAGGCTAGCAGCCACCGAATTTCCGCCTCAGCAAGCGAGGGCCAGCAAACGCAATGTGTTACCACGGCGGGGACTTGCAGTGCAGGTCATCTGCGCTGGGCGCATGGCAAACAAAGCTGCAGGAAGCCAGTCAACCTCTAAGAAGCAATGCTAATGACCTCAGCTGTATTAATCACGACTTCTTGCCCGTATTCTGTTAAGGAATGCACACGTATAAACCTCTCCATCTTCCTCACATCCTTACTCTCCCATGAGTTCAGGAAGTAAAAACAGTAATTTAAATCAGAAATGAGTGGCGTATCCCACACTAATACTGTGCTTATCCTGTCTGATTTGGTGCTTTTATCTCGCTCCGCACACAGCTGGCTTTGGTTAACCGTCTCACGTCAGAGCTTTCACTCGCGGCGCGGCCGTCCCCAGCAAGGCAGGACGCGCTCCGGCCCCAATCAAACATCATTAAGGCTCCTGAACTCCTGACGAGGTTACTTCTCGCTCGCCCTCCCTCTCTCTCTTTTTAAGCTATAATTGATTTTCGGGCAAATGTTGTGTTTTCAGTAACCGTAACAAAAGAGGAGAGCGAGGCAGAGCGGGAGAGGGGCGCGTGCTCTCCCTGCGAGCGGGGGCTCTGCGTGGTCGCTCCCGCGC